AATATATAGTTACTATATTATTATTTTTATTGCAACTTGTACTACTACGCTGTGTATGCCGTATTGCCCAACGTACCAACCCGACCGTTACACTTTTGTGTAACGGGGCCGTTCGAGTTATTCTATGAAACATTTGGAAGCATGTGTGATAACAAAAGAGACTCCGGGCCGTACTGTTAGTTATAACACTGGCCAGAACATCCGTATCGAACGCAATCGCCGTCCAAGTATAAGCACACATACGCGTATTAGCAGCTGTTAGGGGGAGTGGTTTGACCCGGAAGTAGACTAGACAGCGGTAGTCTGAAAACCCCCATGCAGACCGTGTTGTGTCCCAAACTGTGCCCGTCCCATTCCGTGCCTGAGCAGGCACAGAACGGGACACGGCCTGACTGTCCAGAACCGTGCCCGGAAGTGCTGTCAATTATAGTGATTGGCGGGAACCTAAACATAATTATTCACGCCCACGATTTCTTATATGGCTAGATTACGTGAGATTTTGTGAGTCTGTGTACAGCATGTGCTTTCAAAACGCAGTTTTCTCACAACTTAGTCTTATGTTTGGTCGACATGAACTTGGGACACATGTTATGAGAACTATGTTCAGTCCCCTAGCACGCAAGTTTTAATAATACGTGTCCAGAACGGTGTGCGGTCAGGCACGGTTCTGGATAGTCCCTCGCGTGTCCCAGAATGTAGCTTTTCCCCAAGCACGGTTTGGGACACGCGCCGAGTGTCCCAGACCATGCCCAAGCACGGTTTGGGACACGCGCCGAGTGTCCCAGACCGTGCCCGGGCATGGTTTGGGACAAGGCCATCGCGTGTCCAGAACTGTGCTCGACCTGAAGCACGACGGTTCTGAACGAACACTTCGTTTATCTACAAGTTGATTTGCTCTACTCTGTCGTGGATACGCGTCAGGACTATCCAGGTCCGTGCGTTGGGTTGGTGGATAAGCAAGTGTTATTTCTGATTGATCGGGTCAGTCTGCTTTCTTGGGTATACTACGTGCTGTGTTGTATCAAGAACTGTGTTCGCATAATATGTGTTGCAGAATGATACAGGACACTCTGTTTGGACACTACATGTAAGTCGTAGACCAGCGTGAAATGTTAAAATGTACTTTACAGAGCAGGAATTACACCGATTCTTTCTTATTCTTGCCCCGACGAAAAACAAAGATGGCGGCCTAAAACAGTAAACAACACGACGGGAAGGCTCCTCCCTCAAAACAATAAGCTCCACCCCCAAAGCACGGAATGGGACAAGGCCCTTATGTGTCCAGAACTGTGCCCGGTCAGGCACGGTTCGGGACAGTCCCCGCGTGTCCCGAACTGTGTTCAGTCCCGAGGCACGGTTTGGGACACGCGCCGTGTGTCCCAAACCATGCCCAGGCATGGTTTGGGACAAGGCACGGTTTGGGACACAACAAACCGCAAAACACAGAAAAACCACGCCAAAATGAGTACTTAGAAGGTCAACTTTGACGGGACATATCTCGTCTTCCAGTGATTTTTGAATTTCCAACTGACCCACACACGGTGGTCTGACTCGTTGACATCACGGGAACACATAAACCAGCCTCATTTGACGTATCGTGACCGTACAACGACTTTTTGTATGGAGCATTCTAAGTACTCAATCCGGCGCGTCACAATGCCCCAAAGCAAAGATACAAGGTGGTTTCCAATCTGTTTTCTTCAATGAATGAATGAATGAATGAATGAATGAATGAATGAATGAATGAATGGATGGATGGATGGATGAGTGAGTGAATGGATGGATGGATGGATGAATGAATGAATGAATGAATGAATGAATGAATGAAAAGCTAGTACCAAAGTACCAAATGAATGTATGACTGACTGAGCAAATGAAAGATTTTTCAATCTGAGGGCCGAATACAGAAATACGGAAATCAATGAATCAATGATCATTTCGACCGGATATGAAAAGTACATGGTTGCCATAGGCTGAATTTCGTACTTCATTAAAAACTTTACCGAAAGAAAATGCTACCTTAAAACAGGTAGGTAGGTAGTTGTGTGTGTTTTTTTTTCATTATATTTTTCTTTGATTCTTTATTTCTTTTTCCTTTAAATTAAAGGAAAAATAAAAGTTTAATATAAGTTATATATTCCAACAGGTATTAGACGTGGGTACTGCACACTCAAGTTTTTCAACTTATATTAATGCCGCCACCAACACAGGGGACAATATAATACTCATTTTCACCTGAGCAAAGTGAGGAAAGTTGTGTAAAGTGCCTTTCCCAAGGGCACAAGATCGGTGGCATGTCAGGACTCGAACCCGGGACCTCTTGTTTCCGAGTCGAGCACTCTGCCGCTTCGCCACACGACCCCACTATATTCTTTACTTTTGCAAGGAGGTTGCTTTTTCAAAAGTTTTTGTCGGCCCGCCGGAGTCAACTCCAGCTTTGCCGACCAAGGCTTCGGGAGGCGACTGGAAAGAGTAGAAATCGCCCAAATAGAGAGATAACATGCCAGGGTGCTGCAAACTGTTCTCTAGGCGCGGACCAATTCCCCTGGTATGTCACCTCTCTCTATTTGGCCGATTTTTACTCTTTCTAGCCGCCTCCCGAAGCCTGGTAGAGGCTAGTAGCCAGCTTTGCCGACCCCGACCAGGACATCGGAAGCCCTCGGGGGTCCGCTGACGTCATCTTCGTGGAATGTCGGCGCCCTTCGTGAGTCATCGGCGTTGCGCAATCGCCCTTTTCCGGATCTTCCATCTTGAGTGCCACACGTACGCGTACAGGGATCCGCCATCATCCAGCCAAAATGATCATCTACAAGGACATAGTCAGCGGTTAGATACACTCAAACCTTCATCTGAAAAGTTAACATCCATATTTTGTTGTTTTGATGGTCATTTTCGGCACGATGGTGAGGAAAATGAGAGGTTTCGTGAGCGAAGCCGGTTTCGAATGCCCCCCTCCCCCATTCCTAATTTTTTTTTCTCTCTTTCTTCCCAACCAGGCGATGAAATGTTTAGCGATGCCTACAAGATAAAAGAGGTCGACGATTACTTCTACGAACTCGAGGGAAAGGTAACCGAGTGTTTCTTGTTTGTATTTATGGGTAAAAACGTGTAAACATGTTCCGTTGTTAGGCAGTTTTCTTTCTTTTTTTCGGGGGGGGGGTGTGAGTCATAGATTCCGCAGTTTTCAATTTTACAAAACGTCGAGGGTAAAAAATTATAATCAGATGAACAGCAAAAGTATGGATCATATTTGAGTTCAAGGATTTGTATTAGAGTTTTTTTTTTAAATCTCTAATCCATTTTGTAGTAAGAACAGAGTTTTTTTGTCCTGGGTAAAAAATTATTTCTGGTCACCTACTGTACAGTTAGGTGTCAAAATATTCATTGATTCTGTATTGACTCAGCATGGGTGTTGGATACTTGCATAATGTATTATAAACAAGACATGTGAAAAAAGACTTCAGTCCTTTCTTGGTCAGTGTATCAGAATCGAACACAGCTAACAGTTATGTGCTGTGGTGTGTAAGTCGAATCTACCAGGGTTCTATATAATACTGAGCAAAGCCCTATCTAGGGCATCCCGCCCAGGGTGCACGGCTATTGCGGCCGGTGGGGTGCGGTGTGGAAAAATGTGCATAAAAATAAAACAAAACCAAACATAAATTAGTGCATTTTGTGAATGGCCGCAATTAGTAATCCCGACTTACATCTGTGGGACGGGGTGGCCCAGGTGCAGGGCCAACCCCGTCTTGAATGTGTCAACAGATAGTTGTGTCACTAGGTGTTCCGGTAGTGCGTTCCATTCTGTGATGGTTCTTGGAAAGTAGCTGGACCTGAATATGTTGGTTTTGCAGCTGAGAGTTATGTATCGCAGGAGGTGGCCCCTTGTAGTGTTAGTGTTCTTTGTGATGTAGTCTTGTGTAGGTATGGCTACTGGACTGTGTACTTATGCTGCAATGTGTACTTATCTAGATCACCACAGAGAAAGGTGGAATCGACGAGTCAGCGATCGGAGGAAACGCCAGCGCTGAGGACGCAGTGGAGGGGCTGGAGGAAAGCTCCAAGACCGGATGTAACATCGTTATCGCACAGAGGCTGCAGGAAACCCAGTACACCAAGGAGCAGTACAAGATCTACATCAAGGGGTACAACAAAAGTGAGTTGTTATTTTGTTAAATAAACTTTTTTTCTTTAATATTCTTGTGTAGCATGTCTCAGCTTCACCTTGCAAGCACGTCTAACCCTAGTACATTGATGTTCTAGCCTGTTTTTTGTGTGTAATAACCTTTTTTTTCTTTAATGGGGGCCTGCAAGGGGGGGTCCCGATAACGCTCTGCGCTGAATTCGGAAACTTCTCGATTACGCTCTACTATAAATTTCAAGTGGCTACAACGCATTACGTAGAATTGAAATGGCGAATACGCTGTATGCAAAATGTGCCAATTACACTCTACGTTGAATTGGAGCGGTCCGTCTACGCTCTCTACGGAAAAGGGCCCTGATGTATGTGGCTTCCTTCACTCCTCTCAAGAAATAGTCTTGTTGAGTTTCTAAAATCCTTACAGTATCAAGTGAAACAAAGTGTCCGGGTGACTCTATGTGGATGCGTTGAGACACCTCTGAACTAGCAGAGCTAGGCCATGTATGTTCTTGAAACCTGGCTTTTAGAGACCTCTCTGTTTCCCCAATGTACGTCACCTGAAACTTGTTTCTTTTGTTGACCCCTCAGGATGTTGGAACACCTAACAAAGAACAACCCTGACAGGGTTAGTGACTTCAAGACTGCAGCCGCTGCAGGAATGAAGAAAGTTTTGGGCAACTTCAAGAACTGGCAATTCTTCACAGGTAAGTCTTCTTAAAACAGAAACTAAAGTGTTTAAATTAAACTTTTGATCCAACACAAAGAAATATCTCACCTAGAGCTTTCGACTAGTCACTCTGGTCTTCCTCGGTAGACTGACCCAGTGAAGCTTGTCATATGGCTTCTTTGAAGTGTGATGTCAAGCTGTAGGTGAGAGGTTTCTTTGTGTTAGATCAAAAGTTTTAACCTTAAAACATGTAACTACCAACACAGATGAACTTTCATAATAGAAACTGAAGTGGTATGTTCAATGTCTAACCAAAGTTATCATAGTATACATGGAAAGTACGGTGAGGAGTACTAGTAGTGATGGGTAGGCAATGGCAAAGATGGTAAGATGATACATATTTCAGAGAATGGACAGGCATCACACTAAGTGAAACACAAAAAGGAACAGAAAACCCAGAAGGTTGACAGCACATGGGTGGCTGGGGGAGAGATTGACAGGCAGTATGACAGAAGTGTCAGACACAGGAAACAGGGTGATACTGAATGTCAAAAGAACCAAAAATGCTTCTAGAAGTCTGAAATCTCTGGTTTCTTATCATTGAAGTTCATCTGTGTTGGTAGCAATCATAGTACGAGGCTTAACTTTATTCCAGCACAAAGTTACATGGAGATAAAATTTCAGCGACCACTGATGCCCACTGATCCGGACTTGTAAGAATGTTTAGGTTCAAGTCCAAAAAAAACTAAATGTCAAGAACCGAGTCCGGATTTATTACCATAAAAGACCTTTTCACATACCCCTTTTCTCTCCAAACCACCTAAAACCTTCCGTAGATTGCAAAACCTTTGCTGCAAAATGAAGAAAACATTGCCATCGGGCATCATCAAGTACCGGCCTCTATGTTATGTGGCCAAAGTTCATAACAGGGTCTCCAACATGCAATTTTGTATATGCCATGGGTTTAGGTCCGGACTTACAAGTCCGGAACTGAACCTAAACCTCCGGACTTGAATCCGGACTTGAACCTAAATGTGGGTTTAGGTACACAGCACTAGTTTCGGGAGTCTTGAGATCTGTGATTTGTTTTCCCTCTAGGAGAGAAGATGGACCCTGACGGTATGGTGGCTCTGTTGGACTAACATAAGACTGAAATCTGTGGTTTGTTGTTTTCCCTCTAGGAGAGAAGATGGACCCTGACGGTATGGTGGCACTGATGGACTACAGGGAGGATGGAGTGACTCCCTACATGCTCTTCTTCAAGGACGGCCTGGAGGAGGAGAAATGTGTAAGTTGTGCAAACAATTTCAAACAAACAAACAAACAAACAAGCAAACAAACGATTGTAGTTTTTAACCCTTGTCCTGCTGACATTCCTGGCACAATATTTTTCAATAATTTCATGTCTTAATTAGATCATAGACCCCCAATTTTTTTTGCCCTGTAGTGGCATAGTTACTTCCACATCCGTTGCGTTTCGCTGCGGTGCGATGCGTTGCACGAGTAAATACCCCCAAATCGTACCTATACAGGGCGCTATATATTTGGTGCTGTAGATGCAGAACAACAATTGTTGTGCTCTGCAGGGCAAGGGTTAACAGTTGCTGCAAGACAATTTGTGTACTCTCCAAGCAGATGTTTGGGTTTTAGGTGGTTATTTTTGGCGTGTCTTTAGACTCTTTTTATCGGGGGTTTCTTTTTTGCACTGGAATTTTTCTTTCACTCAACCCAACATGAAAGAAAAACCAGTGCAAAATAGAAACCCCAATAAAAAAGCCTAAAAATAACCCAAAACCCAAACCTCTGCTTGGAGAGTACATTTGTGAACACATTTCAAACTGTACCATCCTGGTGTTGCACAGTTAAGTGACAGTGTTTTGAGAGAGACTGGCAGAGAGAGAGCGAACACTGGTGCAGGTAACATTGAAATTAACCTGCACCAGACAAGTTTTGCCTGCACCTCTCAGACTTTAGGAAGTATGGATCACGTTTAACACTGTTCAGAAATTTTTGCCAGTATTTCTTTTGTACTTCATAGGTGGTAACAGTCAATGCAGAAAGGAAAAATCCACATATACCTACTACATGTATATTTTGACCCAGTACGTCAACTGTAGCCGATGAATTGTCACCATTTTTAAAGTCTTTGTTCCTATGTTCACATGGCTAATATGGTTCCTCTTGTTTTTCAGTAATGTAACAAGATGGCGTGAAAATCTGTCGCAACTCCTGTGCACTTTGCCAACTTCAACATCTCTGAAACATCCAAGCCTGGTCGCTCCTCTGAACACCATCAAGCCTAGATAGTTCTCATACGCACGGTTTTAAAATTAAAATTTAAAAAAAGAGAGAGAGAAAGAAAACGAGAAAATGAAAATCTCCAGAAGCTGTATGGGCAACATCGACGCAAACACCACCTGGACACTGAGAAAGGAATCTGACTTGCATATTGACAATGTCAACGTAGCCAAGTTTGTAACAATGGTAGCGTTGTCATTTGCTACACGAACGAATAAAAAGCTCTGACTTCCTATGTTGCGAGTCATTGAGTTGATGAACCTGTAGTTTCTTGAAAAATATGAAGTTATGCTTCAGTCTAATTATTTATTGTTTTATCCCAGAAATTTGTATCCGTCGATCCATAGCCAGAATATCACCCTTTTAGAAGTCTTGACAATTGTAGTTGCCAGCTTGAGCCAAAAAGATTGGGTGCAGCAGCTAGTAAAAAATGAGGTAGAAAACAGAATGTAATGTTATAACGTAAATTTCTTTTTTAATTGTCCATTTACTGTGATGTGCAAATATATGTTTTTCACTCCAAAAAATGCTGTAGTCACTACGTAAAACTTAGTCATGCTAGTATAATTCGAGTAATTGCTAGTGTTTAAACTTTAATTTACCTAGCTGTGCAGTACAATTCATCTATTTTTGAATGTATGGCTAGTTTCCGATTATAGCTAGAACGTACTAAGGCTAATAGTACTAGTATGCTCTGCAGAAGCTGAAGAGAGTCTTTTGCTACCTCAATGCATTTTGTTGTCGGCAGAAAATATCTTGGTTCTTATAGTTAAGTCCACTCTTCTGTTCTGTGAGTCCTCTTGCCAAAATCTGCCTTATCTGAAGAAATAAAAGCTGTCAACTTACCGTCCAGCTATTGCCATCCTGACATTTTATTAGTCTCAGTGTACTAAATACTTTTTCGAACCAGTGGGCAACCTACGGCAAAAATTAGGTTGCCCATCAGAATTTTAGGTTGCCCCACCTATAAGTTACTACTTTCCTCAAATTAAGTAATGTTACATACATAAGCCTTTGACAATATTTCTAACAGCCTTTAGTTAACTGATACTAGTAATAGCCATTAATACCTAAAATTAAAAAGCATCTACCGGATACAGTGGTGCAAGCCAATTTTGGGGGGGGGGGGATTCTTAAAATTCAGGTAGCACACTGGGCTACCCAGGTTCTCAAAAGTAGGTTGCCCCAAGTAAAATTTGGTTGCCCGGTGCAGCTGGGCAACCAGGTATTTTGCATGCTGCAGTCTCCACCAGAGATTCCCTTTTTAGGCCAATTTCTACAATTTATCAGCCTGCAAAAGGAGCCTGGTGGAGACTACTATTTTATTGTGTGTGACAAACCTATAAGAATTTTTTCCTTGGTGCTCTCAGTCATTGAATTACTATGGATAATTGTGCCCCAGTGACTACTAGTATGTTGAAGTATTATTTGCAAATCTCGACGGTCAAACCCAGTGCACGTTCCCAGGAAAATATTAATTTTCGTATGTAATTGTAGTTAAGTTACATCATAAAACACATGTATTAGTTTTCTTATGGGCAAGATGGCGTGCATCACGTGATTTGAATGCACGAATCAGATGCCAGGAATTTTGGCGCGAAATGTAGGTTCTGAAGCAGACGACATTTTGGACCCCGACAGACGACATTTGAGAAGTTTCCAGGTTTCTCACTCATTTTAGAGCATTTAGAGAGTACATTTGTCGAGTTCAGTCGTAGATAAAGGTTAGTTTGTTGTGAGTTTGTAGAAAAAACGCCAAAATTTAATCTTTTTTGGAAAATTCTGACCGCCGATCATCCGAATGGGGAGGGGGGCGAGATTGGAACGACGATTGCGTTGTTGCTATAATTTCTTGCGTAACTTGACCTAAAAATGACTTGAAAACGTTTCCCGTTCGTAAGGATAGTATGCTTGAAGTTTGATGCTGATTTCTTGGTCGTTCAAATGAGTTTGAAGTGTTAATTTTTGCCGAAATTAGGCGGATATTTGGTGACGATGAGTGTGAAAGAACCCTTCCGAGTAGAAGACCTCCTGGTCAGTGTGCGGGAGTTACAGAAAGGTAAGGAATAATTTAACAATTATTTTAGTTTTATCGAAAAAATATTGTTCATAAGTTATGAATTCTTTGCCATAACGCTGTCAACAACTAGTGAAGTCTCCTCCAAACTAATTCCAGTTTGTTGAGCATTTTTAAATGATGTTTTGCTTGCAGAAAAGTCATTTCTGGAACAGGAACTAGCTGAGTCAAAGAGGAGGACAAAAGAAACCGAGAAAAAACTTGATGAAGGTATTTTCTTGGGTTTGAAATTCAGTTCTGCACTAACTGCATATAAAAAATGTAGAACGTTCTTGATTAAAGCATTTACATTTGTAGCTTACAATCGTTTAGTTCGTTTATTGGTATCTGTTCACATATTAAGAAATATGCTGAACAATGTTAATATTTATGCAGTATTTAGAGAGCCTATTTTGATTGAGATTTTATTATTTTTCCTCCCCCAGTAAGTCAACAGCATCGCCAAATCTCAGTACTCTACAACAAGATGGTTGGTAAGTTGGAACATAACTTTACATGCGTGTCTGTGTGTGTGTGTGTGTGTGCGTGTGTTGTGTGTGTGTGTATATGTGTGTGGACACGTGTGTGTGTGTCTGTGTGTGTGTCACTGTGTGTGCACACATGATGCTTGCGTGCGTGCATGTGTGTCTTCATATGCTTATTTGGTGTGTTACCTTGTACTATTTCTATCGTCAAGGAAATTTTGTATTTTCTTCACACTTTCAGAGACCTTGAAGATTGCTAAGCACAAAGTGGACCAATCACAGCAAATGGCAGACAAGTAAGGCAAAACACAAATTTGAGAATAGTGTCTTCTCTTTCTTTCTTATGGATTTAAAATGTTGAAAATGGCATGCTTAGATCTTCTTGTTGAAATCAATAGAAGATACTCTATCTTATCTTGAAAGTTCATCTGTGTTGGTAGAAGTCATTATGCAGCAAGATTAAACCGTAATGTCCAACACAACAAAATGGACTCACCCAAATTTTTGACTGCACAACTCCAGTCTTTGTCAAGGAATGAACAATCCACCGCTTCCGTGACGTCACGCAGATAACACACGTGACTCCGTGAGCAGTGGATCACAGGTTGCAGAAAGTCTGTGGCGCCCCCAGTCTCTGTTGAGGGATGGTTACTGTTGATACAATACTATATCTTGTACATTTGTTTTGTGAGTTTAGGCAGGAGCAGGTGAACCAAGAGAAGAGAGCCAGTCTGACTGAGCTCAACTCCAGTATTGAGCAGGAGGTTCAGAGACAGAGGCAGTACAGGTGAGGTTACATTACCTGTTAACACTCTCCAATCAGAGGTTTAGGCTTCGACTTATTTTTTGACATGTTTTAGGGAGTTTTTATTGGGCTTTCAGTTTTGTACTGGTACCGGTATCTTGTTTTACCTTTGCGTGGCAAATGGTAACTGCCTAGCCAAGTTGATACTGTCTTTGACAAAGGGCTGTGTCCAGATTTCAGTTTTTGTCCACTCCACTCATTTTTGGGGGATGGGGTTGGCAAGGATGGCTGAAAGTGCTCATAAAACTAGGTGGGTCTGGGCATGTTCCTTGGAAAATTTCAGAGCATTCAACCCTCTTAATCGCTGTTTCGCAACCACTGTGAACAATTTCACGATTTACAGTTTACTTTTACATGTATTTCTCTTCCAGTCGTGAGTTTGAGACCCAGCTGGATGAACTGACGGATGCTTCTCACCATGCCTGGCTCTACTTTGTAAGTCACATCAATCTTTTATAACATTCATTCATTCATTTCATCATAAAACGGGTATCCCATTCAACTAGTAAAAGCAGCTTTCCAATGGGGCCCAGCATATATTTACACAGGACACCAGCATCTTCTTTCCACCATCATTACTTGTACTAGTCTAGTTGTAGCTAGAACCTTGCAGTTGATGTAAACCAATGTTTACTTAGGAGTGTTATTTCAATGTTACAACCCAGGCTATTGTTTAAATTAGCACATTATAGAAAAAAAGGACAAACATGATTACATTTACAGTCAAGCAACAAAAGGTGGACAACAGTCATGTGCATAAAACAAAGTCGGCACAACGTTATAATGTCAAAACAATAAAGTCATTAAGATATTGAGATGTTGATAATAAAATAGGACTAGGAAGTCGGAGATGAATGAAAAGATTTTACACTAGAAAATGCCAAAGTGATGCAGCAGTGCCAGTATCAAAGTTTAAGCAATACCTTTCTTATCTTTGAATGTAGTCTTGACTTTTTTCAAAGCCTAGTTTTACTCATCTTGTTTCTTTTCCCAGAAAGCGGAGTCCATTGAGAAAGAACTGAAGGACTTGGAAGCCATGAAGACAGAAGCTGAGAGGTTAGGTCAGTACACTTTTTTTATTTTTTTTATTTTATTGGTTCAGCTGTACAAAAAACATCCAGGGTTGCCCAACTAGTTACAAAACTTTTTTTTAAGGGCTAACCCTGGACAACAAGCTACAAAGATAAGGACAGGACATTGAAATCAAAGTTGTCAACTCATTACATCTATAGGATTATCTATATTTAGCTGAAACTAAGGTGGTTTTTATCCCTGAGATAGTAATTTTTAAGTTTTAACATGTGAAAAGTCAAAATTTGTTGCCAGAAATGGTTGCCTGCCCTGTCCTTGGTGCTGAAACTTTGTGTTGTGAGGTACAGAAATTTACTAGATTTTTGCCAATGGAAAAATTATTAGACAAAGCCACAGACGGGAAAAATAACTTACTGAATGGAAGGTAAATGAAATAATAACTGTATTGGCATAGGTTTTAAGTATAGCTTTGGAGGTAGCAAGATATTTTGTAGCATATCAATTTCTACGCCAAAAACAGTTACTCAAGCAACTGGATATGACTAGATTTTCCAAATTCATATCCAGTTGCTTGAGTAACTATTTTTTGGCATATCTTGTTACCTTGATGTCTAACCTTCACCGACATATTAATTTCTATTGATGACATAAAGCGTTTAAAGAAGTTACATTACTTTAAAGTGGCAACAGGCAAAATGATTGTGATTGAGGTAATTTCAGAAATGATTTTATCACGTCCCTGTACAGCTGAACAACAGGAAGAAGAAGTGTCAGCTCTTACCGAACGACTCAATGGTGTCAAGCTTCAACAAGGGATAGGTGAGCAAGTCATTTTGGTTGTCAATTTTTCATAAAATCACCAGATTACCATGTTCTGCATAGCACATTTTTTGTATGAATTTTGTAGCAAAACATGCCCCACATTTGTCGATTTTATATCAGTATGAAACAGAATAAAACTTTCTATGAAGGCATTTCAACTTTGGAAGTCTTGCTTTGCACTTTGCATTTTTTTCTTGGCATCGTAGTGCCACCAAACAAATACAGAATCACTATAATTATACAATGAAACATAATCTGCATGATATTTAAGGTAGAATCCTTTTTTTACATCTAAAAAGTACAGAATTTTTTCCCTGTAAATGAACTGTTTACAGATACCTCCATGGATGAGTTACAGGAAGATATCATTTCATATGAGATGCAGCAGAACCTGTAGTAAGTTAGCTCACCAAATTCAGTTACATAAAAGATGTTCATTCAGTTTTTGTCTGTTCAGGTTTTGTTGGGAGAGGTTGATGGCTATGTAACAGTTATAACACAGATTGAACTAGCTTTGGTATTGTATTTTCTTGTGCTGCAAACAGTGTGGCAAAAATGTGTAACGGTATGCAGTGTTCGAAATACCTGCCTGCAGTCTGCAATCTGCAGATAGATTTTCAAGATTGCAGAAGAAAAAATTATCCAATCTGCAATTTTGCAGAAGGAAAAATAGGCTCCAGATTCATTAGTTTTCAATTTAGCAAACTAAACTTCCAGGCCCCAGGGACAGACTGTTCTGAAACAACAGGAGCTTCTTCACTAATTTGCATCATCCTTGTCTTGACTTGTCTAACTTTTGTTTCCTTTTGGACTTAAAAAAAATTGTCTTCACTAATTTGCATATCAATCCATAGTTCATGCTTATAAACCTGAAATTCTCCTGCAGTCCAGTAATGCTACTGTACAGATCTACAAAGCTATATATGATGTAAAAAAGGAATTATTGGTTTGAGAAGGTTGTAGTATGGAGGCTTGTGTATTTGCAGAAAGGGTTTCCAAATTGCAGAACAAAATTTGGACTCTTCTGCAATATTGCAGAGCACTGAAAAAAAGTATTTCGACCACTGGTATGTAACTTTTATGAGAGTTGCTTTCATTTATTCATTTGTTCATTCATTCAATTATGTATCCTTTATTGGTGCATCAATTCATCTATCATTCAGCCAGCCATCTATTAACTTACATTCATTTGTTCAGTTATTCATTAATCTACTCACTCACTCACTCACTCACTCACTCACTCACTCAATCATACCATTTTTCATTCATTTATTGTCAATATTGTTCACTCATTCATTCATTCATTCATTCATTCACCTACTCCCTCCTTTCTTCCTTCTGACCACAGTAGGATGTTTTATGAAGAGAATGAGATGGTGCATGGTCTACAGACTGCCATCAACACCACCTACAACGTGCTGCAGAACAAGCTTCAGAGGTAAGTACAGGTAGCTTGCGTAGTCCAGTGGTTATCTACCCTGCCCCTGGATCAAGAGGTTTGGAGTTCGAATCCCGGCGGTTGTAACTCACCCTACATGCATGCTAGTGGAAAGGGTTGCAGTCCTTAGGTTGGGGCATGAAGCTGTGGTCCACTCTTCATTGTGCTTGTCAAAAAGAGCTAGGGGTATTTCCGAGGTACAATGAACCTGTAAATATGGTACATAGCATCTGTCTTCTGTCATGACCAGTGGCTCTACGGTGATCTAAACTACTTTGGTTCAAGACAAACCTTTAGCAAGAGGCCCTACCGAAAACAGAGGACTAATATGATAAGGCTTTTTTTAGTCTGAAATGTTTGATTTTTTATTCAATCCCCCCTCCCAGGCTGCGCCAGTGGGAAAACCCAGATGCTGATAGCCAGGACTGGTCCATGTGTGGGACTGATGAGGGGGAGTCCAGGTCCCCTGTCACTGCTCACTCTGCCACAGCTGACCAGACTATTCAACAAGAGGAAGGAACTAAATGTACAGGTACTTTCCGGCCTTTTTATATGAAAATGTGTTTTTATGTTTACTGAAGGAAAACATTAGATACTGTTTTTACTCAGTTTCTTCCTCCTCCTCTTCTGAATCAAACACTAACCTCTGACCTGGCCAATGACATGATTTGTTGACGTCTGTCACCATGGTGACTGGTGTTGCGTTACATAATGTATTCAGTTGCAATTTCATGGTCTGCTCTGCTCCTGTCACCATATACTACTAGTACATGTATGTGAATGTGTTTGAGTAAGAAGTAACAGAGCAGACCATGTCCGAAGGTAAACATTATGCATTTGCTTTGTAAATGTTACTTCTCTAGTTACATTTGTAATTTTTTTCAAACAGAATTGTGACAATAATTTACTGACACATAGTATAGTTAACAAGGATGGCAGTGACACTAAAAATATCTCTTTTGCCTTCTTCTTTTCTCTCTTCAAACACTTCTTCATTTCATTCATCAAACTTTATCTTACAAAACTGAACTGACAAGTTTGACATTCAAGATGTTTTTGCCGATAAGAATGACAGTCATATGTTGATTATGAAGCAAGTTTAAACTGTAATTTATGTTGATTCAATATCATTTTCTAAAGCATATCTTCTGTTCCATGTAAGTTAAGTACAAGGATTGACTTAGCTTGTTATGTTTAGGGAACATAGAAGTGGAAGAGAGGCAAGAGGCCAGACTGGGCGTCTAAGAAGCAAACAACCCTTTCTTTATAAACTTGGCTTAAGTTTTTCTCATTTCTACAATTGCGTATTGAGCTTAGGTTATGCTGAGATCCTGTCTATTTGCCATCTTAATGTTGAAAAGACATTTCATTTGCTCTAGCTGGAAGAGATCTTGAGTTTGAAAGTTCTGAGATGTTTTCTGCTTGTATCAGTCACTTCTTATGTTATAAGTTATTCCGTATTAAGAAACAGACAGAGCTTTTAAAAACTCAAACCATGTTTTTATTTCTATAGGTGTCTTTTCTCTTAACAAGAAGTGACGTGGCATCCTTATAAATGTGTTTGTACATACAATAAGACACAACATTAATAAAAAGTGGCACAAGGCATTCCATCTGACGTGAACTGTTAGAATTACAGCAATTTTTGGTGCAAAATCTATTGAAGTAATTCCTTAGTTGCTCTTGAGACTTTTTAGTCATAAGGAATCTCTATATACATGGACGAAATGTTTTGAATTCATAAAACCATAACCACCATTCTATAAACAAGTTACACATGGAATAACTTCTCTTACTAAGTATTCCATACTCTTGACTTGGATAAGGCACAATCTGGGGTATAAGTAAGTTTCTGTTTTAATCTAACACATTTTGTTCTATACAAGTTCAGAATTCATGTTACTACAATATTGTCTGACTGTAGAGTGTGCAAATGTACAGTGTTTGCTTCAGCTTCCAAGTTATAAGGCACAATAAATGGTTAAAATTTCACCAACAAGCATTGAGCAAGACCCTCTTTTGGCCAGAACAATTTTGTAACACATTTTCCCCTTTCTCTGACAATGCTACAACTTGTTACGATGTTACAAATGTAAGACCAATACTGAAACTTTCTGAACTGTACATTATAAGTGGCAGCACATTTATACAGTCTAACTCTTCCGACGTGTACTTTCTTCTTTATTTTCTCTCTCTCATTCCCCCTATTTTTACCATATATATTTTGAGAACTGCTGGGGTATGGCTAAACAGTATGAGGAGTTAAGAGTCGCTCATGTTTGCGCCGAATATTTCCCCCATCAGTGGTGTGTACTGGACCATCATCACATTGTCTCTGCTCTCAGCTCCAACCCACTTGTCAAGCTGGAGAAGAAAAAAAAAATCAGGATTATTTATTTATTTGTTTGTTTTGTTTATTAGATCGATCTCCATTAGTTTGTACAGACATGAGTTGCCATACATACTATTCTTCCTGGAGTCTTTAACTACATACTACTATCGTAACAACATGGTTATTTATCAGTATAACATAGTACAAAATGTACAAAAATCTTCTAAATATTTCTTTCAGGGTTGTTTTAATTGCACATTTTGTTTGCAAATTTGTAGAAAAAATTTGTTAAATGTGGCAAGTTCTGGCTACAAAGTTTTTTAAAAAGTGTAGACTTTGCAAAATGATCCAGAAAGTGTCAAAGTCCTCCCACAGCTGAATTTGGAAATTAACAAAATACATAGGAAGTGTAAATTTAAGATGCAAAATAGAAATTGCCACACCTAGGGTACTACTCTTAATGCTATTTTAGCAGTTTGTAACAGTTTGCAACAAATTGTGGCGAGTTCCTTACCGTGGTGGGTGCGGCTGTGTAGTGTAGCGGTTCCACTGGGTTCTCTCTCCAGTTCAACAGATCCACGAACTCCTGGTAGTTCATGGGTGTGTCATCTGTACCAGCAAGCCTGGACAGAACAGGAAACAGTGGTTAGAAACAAGATATTATGGTATTATCAAGTACCTAATACCAGCCCAGAAGAGAACAAGAAGTAGCCATGCCTTTAAGTACCAGAGTAATCAACCAAGGATTGAGGTGTTCAAGTATTCATTCGTTCCTAGAAGTATCGCAGAGTGGAACTCGCTGTCACTAAGTACAGTATAGAGGCATTGTCATTAGATAGCTTTAAACAGTGCCTAGAGTTAGATGTTCAAGAGTTAGGTGTAACAAGCGTGCCTGCGAAGCTGGTGTGTTACGCCGAAAGGCGATTATACCGGCTATACAGATACAAAAGATACATATTGTACAAGGATTTTGAGTCCTCTGTGTTGTACTGTTCCTATCGGTATTTTCAAAGATTTCTGTTGATTCAAGAAGTTTTATGATCTTTCAAAGACTTTGATAACATATCTGCTTCATCTATACTTGTCCAAAAGGTAGTAATGTGTGTTAAACAGCTTACAGTAGATCTAATTTGTGAAAAATTGAACATGCCATTGTTTAAGACAAATTATTTGCAGAAAGTTTAGTTACAAGGTAAATTAAAGATTTTTCGGAAAGTATCCTTACTTCTCCAGGATTGCTCTCAGCAGATCATCAGAGACGGGAACGTGGAAGGCCTTGGACACCATCCTCACCTTCTTCCTTGTGATGTTTCCAGTCCTGAAACAGGCAAGGACAGAAAAAAGTCAGGAAACTATAAAATAAACTGCAAGAATTACTCCTCACATTCATTATCATTCTTATGTAAGTATAGCTACAGTCAAATGTAGACAATAATGTACTAAATATACAGTTACTTTTTTTTGTTTAAGCACAACAAACAGTTGACCATTGCGTCAATGTTGAAACACTGAGGAAACTCTTCCTGTCAATATTGTTGGAAGTCAGGTTTGAAACAACAACTGGTAATTGGTATGGGAACTATTAACCTTCTAGTCCCTAGACCGTACACACTACAATAGAAAAACAAACAGAAACAGCAACAACCATTTTAAAAAAATGCTAAACTTCTCCCTACCTGCTTGTATCGTGGTGCATCATGAGTTGTTTGAGGCGTGTGAAGTTCTCGAAGTTGTGCTTGCGGAGCTGCTCCTGTGCCACGCCCAGTAGAACGTTCATGTTCACCTGTTCGTCCTGACGCTCGCTGAAGTACCGGCCGAGAGTCATGATCTCATGCTCGACAAGCTTGTTCCCGCAAACCTGCGTCAGGAGGTTCCTGTAAGGGGAAAGGATGAACTTATGAGACGGTGCAATCATGGTTCTACAAGTCAGTAGATTCCTGAAGGGGAAAGGAAGGACTTATGAGACTGTGCAATGCTACGCCTTAGCAGATTCTTAACAGAAAAAATGGATGAACTTATGAGATGGTGCAATGCTAAACCTGAGTCAGCAGATTCCTAGAGAAAAACAGAATTACATGTATTTAAAATTCATTATATTGACTGAGATTTAACAGATGACTACTGTAATTTGCAATTTTTTCGTGGTACTTTTATGTTTGCAGTTTTTGCCGTCACTTCTTAGCCCTGTTTTCTTGTTGTCCTCTTGCAAAATTTGATAGTCTTGAGATCCAAATACATACATTGGTATGTTCTAAAGATGTGGGCCTTACCTGAAGACTTCGTATGGGATCTGTCCGGTGCTGTTGGGATCATTCCTGAGGAAGAACTGTTTGATCTCGTCCGTGTTCTTCAGGGCCTGGTCCTTCAGCTTGCCCAGGATGTTGTGCACATGTGCCACTGGGAACTGGGGGAACAAGAGGCTTCATTTAGAATATTTTTCTTCAGGTCTTTCAAAAACACACTTTCTATTAACATACGACAGATAGGGGGCCCCGCTAGCTAGATAGTCACAGTTATTGACAAAAGCGTGAGATGTAGTGTAGGCTACACTGATTCTAGCAGTTTTTGTAATTTTTAACACAGGACGTTTATGATGATGCAATGTACGTGAAATTATGGCTTATTTTATTTTTCATACTCCTTTCTAGAACTGCATTCTAGGTATCTATAGTGGTTTATTATGTAGCATGCTAATGAAGTGATGGCAATGGTTTCTGTTTTGGAACAGTTTTAGTATGATCCATACAAGTTTTAGTATGAGCCCTGAAAAGACAAGGGTAGCACTGGGCTGTGCTTCTATTAGGTCACACCGACTTAATTTTATGGATGACATCCTCTGAAGACCCCCAAACTAGTGCGCGCGGGCGAAAAAAAGAAAAATCCGGCCAAAAATAAAAATGGTACTAAACCACAGTAATACAAAGTCGGTATTGTGAAGTTGGCGTATTACATAGCGACATATACGACAGGCCGGCACATGCTGGCTTTTTGTGGAATTTATGAATCGGCACTGTAGGTATGTACTCAGTCGTGAAGCTTCGGCAGCCTGGGTGCCGTCCTCCAGAGTTACCACTGGCTTCGTTGTCGCTAACCACCATGGACTACCCAGGCTTTGAGCCAGGCCAGATGTCATCGGATGTCATCCATAAAATTAAGTCGGTGTGGCCTTACCAATATAGAAGAAATATGGGTGCATTTCTATCTAGACCAGTTAGTCCTTTCTTGATCACAAAAATTCATAGCTGGTTATGATGGACACAAACTAGAGCGTTCCTTACCTCAGGGCTGTGTTTCTCCATGTACCTGAAGGCGTACTCGTCAGCGTCGATCAGCACAAAGATGTGGTTGTTGAACTGCACCTTCGCACCAACGAACAGGTCCTGTGCCAGGTAGTACGCCGAGGGCTCGGACTTGTACAGCTCCTGGCCGGGCTTCTTCACGCGGCCACGCTCAAGGAACTTTCCACCGATCACACCTGGTGGTGGAAACGAAAATATTAGAGCGAGACTGGCACAAAAAAGTCACTGTTTCTTTCAAATAGATAATTTGTAAGCTTCAGCTCAATTGAGGATGATGGAATAAAGAAGTTTCTTTGCCACGAATGCTTCAAATCCTTTGGCGTAATACATGAGCTTTGCAGGCAAGCGGCGTGGGGGCAGCTGGCTACGTATACACCAAACGACTTGTTACACCCAATCTTTGCACATCTACATTGTGTAGCTGTAGGAGTTAAAGCTTTCAAGTGATGACAGTGATGATTTCCCAACTGTAGTAGACTTGGTGGCAATGAGTTCCACTCTACGACAGTTCTTGGAAAATATGAGCTTTACTGCAAATGCCTGACAGTTTTCAAATTCTATCCAGTTGCTTGAGTAACAGTTACTTTTAAGTTAGTACATATGTGCACTGCTATTTTAGACCCACCAGAGTTCCTGACTGGAGGCTCAAAGACCAGCAGAGTGTCGTCGGAAAGGAAGTAGGAGATAATGAAGCGACGGTCGGCGTCGATGGGCTTGGTGGTGTCCATACGGGCCATGAACCGGAGCACGTTACTCTCCAAGCCATGTCTGGTGAATAGTGAGAAATATGTGAGACACATCATGAAAGTTCATCTGTGTTACCATTAAAAATGTTTCTCACATGTTTAAACTTTTTATCCAACACAAAGAAATCTCTCACTCTCAATCTAGAGCTTTCGACCAGTCACTCTGGTCTTCCTCAGTAGACTGACCCAGTGAAGCTAATGTCACGTGGCTTATTTGACGTGGGTCAGTCTTCTGAGGAAGACCAGAGTGACTGGTCGAAAGCTCTAGATTGAGAGTGAGAGATTTCTTTGTGTTGGATAAAAAGTTTTAACTTTAAACGTGTGAGAAACACTTTTAATAGTGAGAATAGAGAGAAATGTGTGTTAAAATTTTTAATGGTTTAGGCATCTTTTCTTGTTCTTATCATGTCATAAGGTGCTTGCAGTCATACATATAATATATGCTGTAATAAACCTTGTGACTGTGAGTCATACATTTAAACAGGCCCCCTTGAAAATTGAACCAGTAGGAATTTTGACCAAATTTGAGCATACATTCAACAGCTTTTTTTTTAAGTTCTTCTGGGCCTCCTTGTAGGAAAGTTGAATGACTCCTTGGCCAAATCTTGTCTTTGGTTAAGTCCTTGAAGGTACTTGGAGGTCAGGTGTGCCTTAAGTAGTGTTTTTAAGGGCCACTTTGGAGGTCATCGGACTTGAAAGACTCCTTAAGTCTGCAGCCAATGAACTGCACTTAAGTTTCTCAGCTGCCAAGAAGTTGTGGTAGCTAAGAAAGAATGAAAAAGTGTCTCTTTTTAATTCAGCCTGCTAAGGTAGCCTTTTGGCACAAAATTTGCATCAATTAATTTAACATTGACAATTTGAGAAATTGACAAAGTTTTCACCCCAGACTTCTGTTTTTGTGGGTGTCCTTGTGCTAAAACTTCACATCAAAATGTCAGATATTACCAACAGACTGAAAGATAGTTTTCACTTCAGACTTCTGTTTTTCTTGATATGTCCTTGTGATGAAATTTTACATAAAAATGCATCCAAAAACCAACAGACTAAATTGGTGTGGCTCAAAAACAAACAAACAAACCCATGTCCTCATGCTAAAATTTCACTTAAAAACGTCTCAAAACCTTTTAGAACAACCTTCTGCTTTTGTGATGTCCTCATGCTAAAATTTCACATAAAAATGTCCAAAAAAAACAACAGACTTAATTGGCCTGGCTTACAACAAACAAACAGACAAACCAGCCCACGCACCTGTCCTTCTCCATAAACTTGATGAAGTCCCTGCGGGGAGGTTTGGGGATGAGGCCAGCGCAGGAGCAGAGAGAGTCCTCCTCCGAGCCAAAACCGTTGTATGGCGGAACCACGCGGCCAGGGCGGCCTGGTGCAGGCGCCTTGTACGCCATCGGCCCAAATTCAGCTGGAAATGAAAGCATTACAATGTACATTAGATTTCTATAATCCCCATCTTCTCTAAGACTCAAGACACTTATTTTGAGTCATTTAGAATAATTAGAACTAAGTTTTTGCATGTTTTTGACATGTTTTTGACATTCAAACGCAGGGCCCTTGTACTGCATCAGATCAAACTCAGCTGGAAAAGGAAATATTTCATTAGATTTTTATTATCATTGTCAGCTTTCTTAGACTTTATCCAGAATATTCTCGCTGCCTATACTTTAAGAGCATCTTCTCTAAGACTTCATACAGTAATGTGAGGGATTTTGAACCAAGCAAATGGTCACCAATTCAAAATATCTGCGCAGTCTATATCAATATTGAGAAACATTTTCAAGAATTGGGGATACCATATCTATGGCACAGTGCATTCTTTTGCATTTTCATTAAAATAGATGCTTCACAACGCCTTTCTATCTTGACAGTGAAACGGTTCAAGCAGGGAAGCAATTTGTCATTGAGTATTATTTCAATTTGTAGACAAAAAACTCACTTCAATCTTTCTTTCAGGTAGCTTTCAGGGTGAGTGACTGAAAATAGGATAGCCCTTTTACGAAATAAACAACATTTTAACACACAAAGCACTGGACCACATGACTTACTGATGCCGTATTTGGAGCGGTAGTACTCGCGAGTGAACTCATCACAGTCACAGATGACCATCTTACGGCCCCACACGTTAATCACACTCCCGATCGTCAGGTCTCCATCGTGGTAGAAGTCAAGGTGAACTGCTCCCGTCTGGAAAAATAACATTGCAAATTAATCAAAATTGATAAGTGAATAGCAAAAATATGCTTATCAATCAGGGAGTTAGTTTTTAGACTTTCTTTTGAAGTTCATGTACATTGTATACTTCACGCACAAGCTTCCAGATCCCTTTTTTTATTCCGAGCCAAAATTTACTTTTTAAAATAAATTTTCTGTAACTTTTTCTCAAATCACAAATAATACACAAAGCATACAAAAAGCATTCTTCCAATATGTTGACAATTTCCAGTGCAAAAAATATGTATTAAACAGTATTATGTTTTGAACAGTGTGTGATATCAGATTTCGAAGTAATATTGCTTGTTGAGTAAAGAGTCTTTTTTCACAACCAAGTCTTTTTATTCAGGCAATGTTTTGGTGACCGTCTGTCACCTTCCTCAGGGCAATTCTGACTGGTTCACATTGCACTGCAGCACAGGTGTAAAAAGAGTCTCTTTACTCAGTGTCTTACCAACATTATAGCTTGTTTCACGTACCTTGAGACTATCCAGGATGTAGCGCCCTCCGTGTCCTGTTGGTCCAAAAACGTTCAGCACGGTACGGTCTGTTTTCTCACCAGGCTGGTTTAGAGGGGTCGGGGCATTCTGGAATGGAAGGAACATCGTAATTTAGTGAGAACAAAACATTGTAGTTTTAAGATCAGTCATTGTAAGTTTGGAGGTTAGTACTCTTACCCTTCAAAAACTTGTCACTGCTGAAAGAATTCTCTAGTAACACTGTCTTGTACTATAGTCATTCTTCTAACTTCAAGATGTTTTCATTGTTCTAACTTTAACATTTTAGTTTGCAATATGCTGAACTATTCGACCAATATGAAAATAGAGTCTGGTGGAAAACAGTACCTAATTGTGTAATGCAGACACAGTACTTTCAGTGCTGGTATTTGGTAGCTTTTCAGGATTAACACCACTCCTATCTTAAATTCATCAAAGTTTCTAAACATACATTACTGGTAGATTTTAATGTGCAAGAAACAATAACATAAGATGTTGTGGCCAGCAGAATGGATAACTATGTATAAACTAATTAACAAGTAGTTTTGGCCAATATATTAGGAATAATTATGATGATGAAGGAATAATTAAGATATTAAGTAATTAACCCACCTTGGGCAGCCGAGCTCTGTTGAGGAACTTGGGCGCAGCGTCCCGTCCGGAGTTGGGCGTGATTTTCTCCCGGATCTCGATGGTGTCGTCTGCGAGGAAGTAGTGCATGACCATCTCACGGGAGTCTCCGAACATCGCATCGGAGTCGTCCCAGTAACAGTAGAAACGCAGCACCTGAAACGGTGTGTAACAATTAGTATCCAGTAATACATGTACCGGTAGTAGAAATGTCAAACGGCATTGTGGTGTAAGGGTTAGTATGCCTACATCTAAATCACACGGTCGAGAGTATGGAAATTTGTCGGAACATCGTATTAGAGTTGCCCCAGTAGCAGTAGAAATGCAGGACCTAATACGGGCAAGTACAACCATTCAGCACCAAGGACAGGGCTGTTTGCCAACTGCCATCTCCTAGCACAATTACAGATATCTCCCACTAACTTGGCTCAGAAATTTAAAGTATAAAGAAAAATTATTGACCCAGTGTTGACGTCACACTTCAAAGAAGCCAGTCACGTGAAAAGTCTCACTGGGTCAGTCTACTGAGGAAGACCAGAATAACGTGGAAAGCTCTAGGTGAGAGCAACTTCTTTGTGTTGGATATAAAGTTTTAACTTTAAACATGTAACTACCAACACAGATGAACTTTCATGATTGTGTAACATTTTGTTGTGATTTACGAGTTAACAAAACAAACAAACAAACAGACAAACAAACCTTTCCGTCATTGTCCAGGAACTGTTTGAGCGTGTCGTAGCGCTCGTAGGGGCGCAGTGGCTGCATGCTGTCATCCAGCTGCTTACGGTAGTTAGAGTACGGGTCGGTCGGCGTGCCCTCTGGCAGATTCACCTATACATCAGACAGTAAAAACGAAAAAAGGAAAAATTAGACTGTAGTACACAATCTCTCTCTGTTACGGTCTGATTGGGCCTTTTTACTAAAAACTTGTGACCATACACATCTAACTAGGACCTCCATGTCGGCAGAACGTACTACGCCTGCGCAAAACCCCCATTTTTCATGGTTTTTGTTGGATGTTTGGTCAACATTGCATCAACATTTGCCTGTTGCAGACAATATTTTTTCTGACATAACATTTGGAAACCACAGACAGAGTGATAACCTATTATATGCATGAATTCGACCTTATATGAGACCTTATATTCTGCCAAAGTGCTTTGCACAATACATTACGGGTTTTGCGCAGGTGCAGTACGTTCTGCTTACGTGTTTGTAAGACCCAATACACACCTGTACTTATTGTGCACAATTACTACATACCTGTACTCCCAGTTTGCGTAGGAAGTTTGCTGTAAACTGGTTACAGTTGGTGAGTTTGAAGGTGCGCCCGTAGAGCGTGATCTCCTTCCCAACGTTGAAGTGCTCAACGGTGTAATACTCGTCCTCATTGGGAGGGGGGAGGGGGATGCGGTGCCGACGGATCAGGGTACCTGGGGGGAGGGGGGGCAGGGGAATTAGTATCAAATTTCCAAGTACATTGGTGAATGTTAGACATCCAGGTAACAAGATACGCATCCAGGTAATAAGCAAAAAAACAAAGCTTTTCTGACAACTCTCCAGTGTCACTGACGAAAGGTAGCGGATGCTACATGAAACGTCTGACCGTTTCCAAAATCATATCCAGTTGCTTGAGTAACTGCTTATTGGCGTATCTTTGCCAAATCATTCATATGTACTTTACACACAATCAGATGTAACACGATGTTTTCATTCAATTCTACCATTGTACTAAAATTGCCTCATCTATTATTCATATCCATATGAAACACATGCATTTATCTCCAATTCATTAATTATTAAAAGACAGTCCTTTTGCAATGCAGAGATTTGATTTTCAATGATATGGACACTGAGTGAAAGAAAGATTCTATATTATTCTTTCTTCAAAAATTGTTCCAGAACAACAAAATATATACCTGTATAATGATATACTTGTAAAAGATTTCCCTACCTTGTGGGATGCCGCTGTTTTTGACCTGTGGTTCGTTGACCTGTATGGAGTCATCCTCCAGGTAGAAGTAGACTTTACACTTCCTCACTCGGAACTGTTCTTCTCGCTTCTCATTCACTGCCTCCTGGAAGTACGCGTCGAAACTCAGCACCTGTGGAAACGGAGAGAAAAATGTCTTAGAATAAAGAAGACATAATTATACAAATCAAACCTGTATTGACCAGCTCTACAAAAGGACCACCTGGTCAATGTGACCACTTTTTGGTGGTTCCTTAGATACTAGTAGTTTTCCCTATTGACCAAATAATGTCTATATTGACCACCTGTTCACATAGACCAGATGTTATAAGTCTTCTTGGATACTGTAGTTTTGACTACATATTAGTTTGTAATGTTCATGTACACATGTATCAAGGTTATATTTTGATTAACTGCCATTCCTTCATAAAGACTAGAGTTGTAAGACTTGTGTTGAAAAGTTAACAGTCCAAAACCTGTCTCGGAATAAATCAATTGTAATTTTTCCTTCAGAGCGATTTCTGCCAACAGAGATGATCTAATTGTAAGCTTTCTAGCAGTCTTTGGTTTAGCCCAAAACCTTCCAACATCACATGGATAAGATCGGATCCCCGTCAAACAAACAAACACACCTGTCTGTCGAAGGCGAGCCATGCGGGCTTGTCGCTGCCCTCTCCGCTGGGGAAAGCGCTGTGTCGTGGCTTCAGCTTCTGTCCGGGAAGAGGCGCGCCGCCGATACCGGACTTGTGCTCGCCAACCATCGTGGAGATGTCGTTACGGTAGTCAAACAACTGCGACTTGTGGAACTTGGTTTTACCCAACTGGAGGGGAAAAATTGTAGGATTCTTAAGCTCAACTTCAGAAATATCAAACATATAACACCTTTTGTATGTCTAAACAGGTGTAGTAGAAGTCATTGAGGGATTTAAGTGACTGTTGTCCATTTTTAAATATATCTTGTAGCACTACTAGAATTTATTGAGTGATTTTTTGTCGCTAATGTCCATAGAATTTGTTGTTGCTGTCCATTTTTTAGATGTTAGAGTATTATAGTAGAAAATAATTTACAACACAATATATATAATATAACTTAGCAACACAGTTCACTACTAAGCATGTTCAGTTCCAAATGTCTGAAAGTTAATTTTTTTATCTCTGTGCTTTTAAAAGTATTACGTTTAATATCTTATGAAAATTATCAACTTGCATGAAGCTTCAGTATAATTTTATATTTGCTGGCAGCATTTTAAAACATCAAAAAGCAAATTTCATATTTCTCGAAGCGTTAGAAACGAAAACCATACCGGAATGGCGACAGGCACAAATGATGTAAGAATCAGTACAATTTTGCAAACGACACGAAAAATCAAAGTTGTCTTAGCACAAATGTCTACAAAACTTTAGATTTTAGTCTTATTTGGAGTAACAAATAGTTCATGAGACGCCTCCATACCATGTTGCCCACCCATTTATAAATTCGACCACGAGTTCCAAAAATCAAACACATATTTTCCCCAAAAAATTCCTCCAAAAACCGACAATCAAAACGCTCAACTCACGTTTGGGTTGAAGGAATTCCCTGGCAGAAACGGCAGAGCCATGGCAAAGTTGTTGTGGTCCTCGGAAAACGTCTAAAAGTGGATGTAAAGAGACCGAGCCCTGCTTGTGAACTGAATGAAACCAAGACAGAACACAAACTGATGTACACAACTCAGCTGTTTGCCCCGTAGTTGTGTACCGTTGCTAGGCAATTAGCATATACATGACGTCAAGATCCATCCGCCATCCTTAAAAAATGCCGCCCAAACTCCATTTACTTAGTTAACCTATTAGTAAAGTTGCAAAGATATTCCTCAATCTTCAATTAATTACAAAAAAATCCCAAAAAGTTTGTCCATATAAAGATTTTTATCTTAGCCCTGAATCTATTTTGTTCTATGCGGATGTAGCACGACAGGAAGTAGTAAGCCCTAGCGACCACCTTTGACCCGGAAGTTCTATCTCCGCCGAACGCTTTTAACGCCGCCTAGCAGGTTTAGGGCAAATTGCAACGCCCACAAGTGACAAACGTATGTGTTGACATCTCAAACATGTTTCCAGTGGTATTCTTACCATTTTCCGCTGATACTAAATGAAATTTACTACATGCTGTTACATTAGTACTTATCTTTGCCCTTGACTTATAGAATGTTATCTCTATTATCATAATTATAAATTTTCAAGCAATTTTACGTGTGACTTAGTTGGTGGGGAGGGGGGCGTGTCGACATGTTTGAATTCCGAACGTGTGTAAATCTTATATATATATCCTCAGATTGGTAGAGTGCTCGCTTTGTAACCAGGAGGTCGTGAGTTCAAACCCCGGCAGGGTCATACCAAAGACTTTAAAATGGTACACACTTCTTTCTCTGCTTTATATATAGCACTCAGCACATATGAGAAAGAGTGTGGGAAGGTCAAACACACAGCACTACCAGCGGACTAGCCCCCTGCTGTAGTGCTTGCACAACTGTGTGTCGCCCAAGGGCTACGGAAATGGAGATGGGCACCACCCTACGCTCGGTAAGAGCACGGGACACCTTCTTCTTGCGATAAGCTTTCAAGACCTTATTTTTCATTCCTCCCCTGTAGGTTCCTGCTGTGACCATGAAGGAGAGACCAGACCCGTGCCAGAGGCAGGCCTGTGATATACAGGTGTGCTTACAAGGTGGGAAAATTACTAGTATCTGTCATTGAATTATGTCCACAAAGCTAAAGCCTTTAGTAAAGGTCATTATAAAACAAGTGTATTAGAAACAGGAGGAGCGAGTAGAAACAGAATGACACTCCTGGTCCCGGGCCGGGGATTGAACCCACGCCAAACCCGAGCACCAGCTTCAGACCCAACGCTCCTACCGAATCGGCTAAAAGGTCTAGACCCATCGGCTGGGTCAGTTGGTAGCACCTATAAACCCCTCAATGTTACACTTGCAAGCCATTGTTTCATGTTTTGATTTTTTTTTACTGCTGCAGCTAACAACTACAAAGAGTCTCGGTGTGAGAGTGTTCTGCGAGCCATGGAGAGGTGCTGTGAGAAGCCCTGGGCTCAGGACTCAGTCTGCTGCTCTGGGTTCAGGAAAACCAACAGGAGGAAACAGGAGGACAAGGAGAAAAGATGACAGAAGACACTGGGAAAGTGTGAGAGTGTTCTCTGGACTAGTGTCTACCAGACTCTTTTGCAGGCTGAATAAATACATGTAGTAGTAGAAATTAGCCTAAAAAGAATGTATTACTGGCTAGGGGAGTTGGTCGGCCATAGAGGGTCCAGTTTGCCTTCATCTATGGCCGGCCAACTCCCCTGGCAAGCTACATTCTTTTTAGGCCGATTTCTACTACAAAAGAGTCTGGTGGAGACTATCTCTGTGCAATGGAGAGGTGTTGTGAGAAGCCCTCCGCTCAGGACTCAGTCTGCTGCTCAGGGTTCAGAAAAAACAACAGAAGGAAACATGAGGACAAGGAGAAAAGATGACAGGACACTGGGGAAGACACACAGGCTGAATGAATAGTAGAAATCGGCCTCAAAAGAGTGTAGCTGGCCAGGGGAGTTGGCCAGCGATAGAGGGGCCCAGTTTGCCAACGAAGACTAAGAATACAGGAAAGTGACTGATTTGCTAAAAACTCAGAAAAACTTTCCAGTTTGGAAGTTGTGCTGACAGTGCAGATAACAATTGTCCTCATGAATCAAAGTCATTTGGATGAATGTTGACAACATTTCTGGGTCAGTGGGCTAGATTTCAACCCAAGTCTTACTGCTAGAGAAGCCAACCTAGTCCTTTGTATATTTTAATTTCAATGTATTTATACATGTAGCTTGTCATTTTACACTATGGCACAATTGTCGTTTAAAGAAATTATCAAATTAATTGTTGTATGATGTTGTTTTCAATGACTTTGTGAGAACAATAAATTTGTGAGGTCTTTCATTGTGCTGCACAATTTTTATGTTTTAAAAGCTCAATTTCGAACATTGGACTCAAAGTTTGAGCCTTTATCTGTCCTTCTTTCCATACCTGACACTGAACAAGTCAAGCAAGAGCTTCCATACACGTGCCAGTAGTTTATACACACAAACACATCAACAGGACATGCAGAGTACAGGTCACACTGAACTATTGCTTTAATAGCTTGTAATCCCAATCTGTAACAGGAAAATGCACTCCAACTCTACATAATGTACAACAAGACAAACACTGGTGGCTCATGCCCATGTAAAATAAGCAGGTTTTGACCCAATCCAGACCCTTTCTATAAGTGTAAGAAGACTACGCATACCAGGTCACAGAATATAGCCTCTACCAGGCTTCGGGAGGCGGCTGGAAAGAGTAGAAATCGGCCAAATAGCGAGATAACATACTGGGGGAGTTGGTCTATTAAAGAGTACAGTTTCGGCTGCAGCAGACTGTACTCTCTAGCAGACCAACTCCACTGGCTTGTCATCTCTCTATTTGACCAATTTCTACTCTTTCCAGCCGCCTCCCGAAGCCTGGTAGAGGCTACACAAAGTACACTGATTCTCCCATGAACCAACAATCCAACATGGCTGGGGAGGATCACATAACACAGTTATCAAAACCTTCTGATCTCACAAACATGGAAATAATTTTAGTCATAACATATGAAGTTTACATGTACACAAAAGATAGCAGGATCCATGGACTTTCAAGCTATACAATTTTACGCTATACAATTTTATTGTGCTGCACACATAATTCTTCCACTTCAAGCAAATCAAGAACACACTACAGTTTATGTGCAAAACCTGGTATCTATAATAAACATTTCTCACTTCCACATTTTCTACACAGTCTTCTCTCTAAAAAAAAACAACAAAAAAACAGCCTTTTCAGTAAGGCCTGAAATAATGGTTTTGTACATACTTCTTCTTCTGAGTTCTTCTTTTCATCTTGACAGACAATCAGTTCAATGTACAGTAGTTGACATACTGGTAAGTTTAGCAAGCACATAGCTTGCTAGCATGTATATGTGTGTATGATCCAGTTATGGTTGATATGTGACATGTTTGCTACATCTAGATCCGTTAGACTTTTTGTATCAAGAACTGATTGTGTCACTTTTGGCTTTAGTATGTTGCGGTTGGTATGGACCATTCTACTTATTTCAGAAGGGGGGGAGGGGTGGCACACTTGGGTTACTGAACACTGTACTGTGTGTGTTTCAATACTTCTAGGCTTTCCATATACACACTCCACTGTAGCCACCATGACTCAAATAAGTTTTAACATTCCATAATAATTTCTTTGATTTTAAATCTATAAGATGGACACTTGAATGTGAAGATGTTCCAGCTTCTACCAGGCTTCGGGAGACGGCTGGAAAGAGTTGAAATTGGCCAAACAGAGAGATAGCAAACTGTTCTCTCCAGCAGACCAACTCCCCTGGCATGCTACCTCTCTATTTGCCACGTGACAAGCTTCACTGGGTCAGTCTACTGAGGAAGACCGGAGTGACTGGTCGAAAGCTCTAGGTGAGAGAATTTTTTTGTGTTGGACCAAAAGTTTTAACTTTAAACATCTCTCTATTTGGCCAATTTCTACTCTTTCCAGCTGCCTCCCGAAGCCTGGTAGAGGCTAAAGAAAAAGTTCCTTTCAGATTAGACTTTTAATCTTACTATTAGTTAAAGTAGATCTTTTGTTTTATAAGTGTCTTTCTTCTCTTTGTTGTTCTGAGAGTGATCATGAAGCCAGTCCTATCAGGAAGCCGCCAGCGAAACCACCTGCTACCACCATGTTCTCCTGCATGAAGGTCTTAGCCTGGGGGAAAAGAAACATGAAATGAAAAAGAGAAAGGCCGCCGACAATGCAGTACCTTAAACAAGGACAGGGGGCATCACTACCTGAAACCTGTATATGACTGACTGTATATGATTATCACATCAAGCCATGTGACAAGAGAACTCCAACAAGACGAGAACTTAACCGGGTTGAAGAAGAGACAGAGTACGTCTTGAAAGCTCCCCAGTGTAGCTGAACTTTTCTTGTGTGTTTTTGTATATAAATATTTTGTCAAAAGAGAATTGAAGACAGCATTTGTATTTATTAATAATAATAATAATGGTTTATTCGTCATTCAACACTTGTACAGAAAGGCAGGCTCCATTAAATGGAACCTGAATTGTTCTGACAATTACATCGGATTAATTAATAAAAGGTTAGCACACATTAAAATCATTATACGTCATTGATTATTAATATGAGATAAGTTAAAAGGTCATTCATTTAAAATAACAGATGTACACACAAATTACAGGCAGGATAAACAATTCTATGAACAGTAGGATATATATGTATAATGCGGACTCTGAAGTAAAAGCTAGGAATTCAGCATCCGAATCATGTAAGGAATCGCACTAGATCTATATCTTTCAGTTCTACAGAACACAGAGTCTAGTTTGTGGGATGAGCGAGTCGTCCTGCCACTAATCGTGGTTCTAGACGGTGGCAGTAGATGACGGTGCAGCTTAGACTGTTCAAGGGACTTGGCAAAGGTCAAAGTCAGTTTCTCTTGTATTTGTGGAATGGACAACCTAGAAAATTATCCTTCAACCTGTCATACCTTAGGCCATACCAATTTAATTTGTTGGTTCTCGGATTTTTTCAGAAAAAATATGAAGCGACAGGGCGAAAAAAAATAAAAATAAAAACAGGTCTTGGCATCCTATTATAGGAAATGAGCCATGAAGTTAACACAAAAGGCTGGGTTGAAATTTAAACATTGAATTTTGAACTTTTAATCAAACCACTGCAATGATAGATGGGAAAACTGTAACAACTAGGAAGAAAAGGACTTTCCTCAACTGTTGGGGGGCAAAACATGAGCATTTTTCAGTTGATTCAGAACCAGAATCAATTTTTTTTTTTTTGCAAATCTGAAAAAAACGAAGAGGTGAATCCGAGAACCAACAAATTAAATTGGTGTGGCCTTATTGAAAGAAATATGAAAGAGTGCAGCACATGTCTCTGTCATTTTCAAAATCTTTCAAGTTAAGGCCACACCGACTTAATTCTATGGATGACATCCTCTGAAGACCTCCAAACTAGTGCGCACGGGCGAATTGAAAAATTCCGTCCAAAAATAAAAAATGCTACTAAACCACAGGAATACAAAGCTGGTATTGTGAATTAATGGCAGTACATAGCGACGTATACGACAAGCCAACACATGTTGGCTTTTTGCTGAATTTATGAATGTATGTTTTTACTGAGATCTTAAGATAAAAAGTGGACCAAAAAGTGGATCTTTGAGCCTTATTGGGGGGGGGGGATTCGATACGGGTATGGTATTTCTGGAAGTTTTACCTGTTGTAAAATCTGTGCGACGTCAGGGTAAGCCTTCTCGGCTTGTTTCCCGATCTCCTTCTTGTACTTCTCCATGTCCTTCTCTACTCTCTTCCAGTTAATCTTCACATAACCTGCGTGGTTCGCTATCTGTGGGAGACATGGAAAATAGGTGTGAATGGGTAAAAACATCATATCTGGAGCTTAGCAAGGTAACCTGCATGGTTCACTATCTGTGGAAAGATGGAAAAATATGTGTGAGAGGATAAAAACATATCATCATATCAAGAGCATATTGATGTAATCTGTGTGACATAATGGGAGATGCAAGAACAGGACTGCAATAGGAGTTATAGGTCATGGGTGTTCCAATGAATGGCCAATGTTAGGTAAGTGGACATGAGATCGAGACATCATGGGTTTGATTCCTTGTGTTTCTTGCATTTGTGTCCTTGAGAATTGTACTTTTCACGACTTTCTCACTCCATCCAGGTGTAAAAAGGGTACCTGACTTCGGTTGGGGAGCTACTGGTAAAAGACTATGCATGGGACCTTTACCTACATGTAGGTTTTACCAATGGGTGTCAGTAAAAATCTAGCATGTAGCTGATTCCTCCAGACATGTATGTACTCACCTGCAGCAGCAGGAATCCTCCCCCCACAGCTGTGGCCGCCAGCTTCCCCACCTTCGAGAACAGGTAACCTGCACACCTGGGGTGGGAAAGGGAAAGTCATCTCAGGAGAATTAGTGAAAGTGATACGTGTAAGGCCACAGCACAGCCTCACCAGGATATAGACAAAATTTTCATTTTACGTCTAGGCCACACCAATTTAATTTCTTGGTTAACGGATTCGCCCGCTTCATTTTTTTCTGATTTGAAAAAAATAAAGAAAACCAGAATCAACTGCAAAATGCTCATATTTTGCCATGAACAGTTGAAAACAGTCCTTTTCTTCCTAGTTGTTACAGTTATTCCATCTTTTAATGCAATGGTATCATTAAAAGTTCAAAATTCATTGTTTAAATTTTGAACCAGCCTGGTGTGTTGACTTCATGGCTCCTATTGTACCATTTGGGGCCATAATAGGATGCCTAGGCCTGTTTTTTTTTTTTCTCACCCACCCGCTCCATTATTTTTCTAGAAAAATCCGTTAACCAAGAAATTAAATTGGTGTGGCCCTATCCCAAAAATAAAGTTATTGCCTTTTGACCAAGTTGCATTGGTACCAATCTTGCCTTTTACTTAGCTGTGCCCTCTTGCAGAGGAGGGTGAACTGCAGCCAGCTTGGTACAGATGCTGATCACATCCAAATGCTAAGAAACGTCCATGTACTTGATACTCTGATTGTGTAGCCTGGGTGCCATCCTAAGTGCCCAGTGACATTAGGTAGCGGACGAAAACTATGGAGGATGGCACCCAGGCTACTGATCGTGTACTTGCATTGATCAATGAAAAGTTTATTGCAAATTCTTGCCCGGAGGCTAATTACAAATTACAAAACATAAAAGAACAATTAAATAGAGTATAAAATAACTAAAGTCTACATGATAAAAGTAGCTGTCTAGAACTATAAGTATATCTAAAACTATGTCTGATCAATGTAATGTGTACAATGTGTACATTCTGTAAAACATTCTGGATTCCACGTGGGTGCAGTACATTCTTAGCCTCTACCAGGCACCGTGGATTGCTGGAAAAATAGTAGAAATTGGCTGAAATAAAGGAATAATATACCAGGGGAGGTAGCCGGCCAGAGAAGCTCCAATTCACGACCCATGGAATTCTCTGGCCGGCTACCTCCCCTGGTAAATTATTCCTTTATTTTGGCCAATTTCTACTATTTTTCCAGCAATCTGCGGTGCCTGGTAGAGGCTTGTACATTCTGCCTAGTCTCCACCAGACTCCTTTGTTAAAAAGCTAACGATCATTCCCCACAACCATTGTCTGAAGGACCAGCCAGTGCCAAGCGCGAAGTTCCTAGGGGAATCCAGGGGCATCCTCCCCCGATATATTAAACCCTCTGAAATGACATTTCCTGTGTTTTTGAGAGGATTTCAATGGAAAAAATCAGTCATAAATTTTATCTAATGAGCAGTTTTTCTATCATGTCAGACATGCTTTTGAAGAAAAATCTTGGACATTTTAATTTTTAGTAAAAAGTGGACCTTTTCAGCCTTGTGGGGGAATGTGCAGAGATTGCTAAAACTCAAATGGTAGAAATCCTTTTTTTTCAGCATCCTACAATATTGCAGAATGTCAAAACTTTGTTCTGCAGTTTGCAAATACTTTCTGCAAACACAATCTATTCAGCTTAGCTGAATAACAGTAAAAGAAGTACTAAATTTTGCCCCTAGAAACTGCGCTATCTGGGTTTAGAAGCAAGATATGTTGTTTGTGCAGCACATCTGGGCAAAACTGACATACATGGAGGCCAACACCATTGAACCTGTAGCCTTAATTTTTCAGTCTGCAAAATTGCAGGCTGCTTAATTTTTCTTCTGCAATATTGAAAATGTCTGCAAAATGCAGACTGCAGATGGGTATATCTAACACTGCTCACCATCCCGACACGCCACCCACAGCGATTTGTGTGCCGACAGACTTGGCGGAAAGGTCCTTGGGAAACATGTCCTTCAGCCAGCCTCGTCTTCGTGCCTCAGCCAGGTCCAAGATCTCAAAACCCTCGTCCCGTTCCTCACCTGAGGGAAACAACATTGTTTTTTTATTTGTTTTATTCTGAGTAGAGCTTTGTCTCTGAGCCTTGGCCTGGTCCAAGATCTCAAAACCCTTGTCTCCCTTCTCACCTGAGGGCAAATACATGCGATTGTTTGTTTGTTTTATTCAGATCTCCAGTGTCTTCCTGTGACATCTTGATATCAAAACTCCACTAGACTCTCTTTTGGAGTTGGGAAATCTTCATAGCCTGGGTACCATCCGGATTTTCGCTACGCAACGCTCGAAAAAATCACGTTGCGTAGCGAAAATCCGGATGGTACCCAGGCTAAAATCTTCATCCGTTTCATATACAATTCTGGTGGAAAGTGATGCATGTTAGATAATATAACAGTTCTTATTACTTTGTTTTGACATACAAGATTCTAAGTCTGTCTGTGGCCTGTTACATGTATGTCTGTACGCTTGAAATGTCACGTAATACATGACATGTATCTCCAAGAAGATGTTGGAGAGGGCATTGCAACGTTTTCCTTACATAAGGAGCGCTATGTATATACTTACTTACTTACTTTGGTAAGTATATGTATTTAACCTCCTTGGTATATGACAGGAACAAGACTGACTGATAGAAAAACAGACAGACAGAATCCTGTCCGGAGGATTTTTCTCACGCCCTCCCCCCACTGTGCGTGCACACACTCCAGCCAGGGTACCGACTAGGGAGGGTTCAAAACTTCACTCGCACCAATACACACACAATCACACACACATACACCCTCTCTAACAACCCGCTAAACGTCTCAAACAATGCTCACACCAGCCCGACACAGGCTAATCCCACAACAAACGCCACAGTGGTGGAATGTGTCTGGAAAGAGCAGTAAACAAATTAGCACCAGGGTGAAAGAAACCCCTCGCCCGCCCTCCCCCATAAAATTCGGACTGCTTGGCTAACTTTCGCTACGGCATGTGATTTTCCCATGCCAATTTCTACCGACAAAAACTTCGTAGGAGCTAAAAAATGAGCTTAATGTTTGACAGAAACGTAGAAATGCTGCTTTTTGGTAGCTGTTGTGTACGAAAGTGCGAAAGAGCGGAGTTTTTTCAGTCCCGATTTTGCCAGCTCTCACCGTTTTGCTGCCTTTCCGCCATCTTGCGCAACTGAACCCGGAAGTGACATAACCTCCGTGGGAAAGTAGAAAAATTCGAGCCTGTCCTTGAATAAAATCTCAATTTTTGAAGCGATAACTTGACAAAATAACGTCAAAATAGTATGTTTACATCATTGAGGGTAGGTACACATAAAAAATAGACATCTCCAGTTCGCCAAACTGTAAAAATAAAAAAATTTACAAATGTCACGTGCCCAAACATGCGTCTTGGTACCGTCCATTTACCATATTTGGAGGGGAGAGGGGGTTCGCTAAGGGTACTTTTATTTTGGCGGGAAACAATAGGTCGGGTCATTTGAGACCACCGCTTGCTAGAAATCGGCCGCATGGGTCTTTCTTTGAATCTTTTTCTTGGAATTTAGCGAAAACAAGGAGTTTTTTAACCTCCTTGGTGAAAATGACGATTCCTGGGGAAGAGGAGCAAAATGTCGTCCCCGAACCGATGGATACAAGCGAGGATCCACCCGATTTTGCAGACATTTCGGAAGAAGAGAAAGCATTTTGTATGAGGTGAAGTTATTAATTTCTTTACGAAAATTTATTTACTGTATCTATGCAGTTGAAGGTACAAATATAACTTTTTTTTTCAAACGAATAGTACTTTGCTCCAATAGCACCATTGGATGAAGATTTCTTATTGTTTAGGAGGAAAAGGCATTTTGCTGGGATTTAGGTAAGTTTTTGTGGCATTTTTGACAGTCTTTCTTTGGGAAAATTTAGAATTGGATTTTATTTACTACAATGTATATCTATGCAGTTGAAGGTATAAACTTTACAATTTTTTTTCAAACGAATGATACATTGCTCCAATAGCACCATTGGATGAAAAGGCCTTTTGCTGGGATCATTTATGTAAGTTTTTGTGGCATTTTTGATAGTCTTTCTTTGTGAAAACTTAGAAGTAGAACTGGATGTTATTTTTCTAAATCCATGCAGTTGAAGGTGCAAAAAAGTTTATTTCAAACGAACGGTTTGCTTGAACATTAACATTGGATGAAGTTTTCGTAGAGTTAAAGTGTAAACTACATGTATATTATGAATTTTGCTCGACTTTTTTTTAAACGAGTTCATAAGAAATGCTTTTTTCCATTGTTGTACTTTTTCGTCCAAATATTGGGGTCATTGACATTTTTGATGAATAAGTTAATCTCAACCACTGAAAAAATATATCCTATATATATAGTTTCTTTCATTTTCGGAGAAAATCCTTCTTGGAATCTCATACGGATAATTTTGTTTGGATATCGCTTTATTTCTTAGAAATTTGTACTCTATTTGTTTATTATTGTTGGATAGGTTTATGTGTTGTTTACCCGCAAAACTTGCCATTTTGAATAATATCTGGGGCGAATATTGAACACCGGGGCCGTCCCTGGTCTTGATATTGGATTACCCTAATTTCCGACAAATTAATGAAAATTGGCGAATTATGCAAATTTATGCAAATGAGGTGGAAATCTGCGCAGAACCAGGAACCTCGTCCTGCGCCAACTTTCCCGCGGGTCACGTGGTGGCGATCCCGGGCGCTGATTGGTCAGAACCGCTCTGTTTTATTACACGGCGTGGTGTTTCCGGGGACGTCTCGACAACTTTTACCCAAACTTTTGGCGGCGAAATTTTTCCCGAATTGCGTACAAAACATGAGGAGTGTTCCCTCGGACCATGGAGTCTACCCAGAGCACAAGTAGTGGGCATGAGCGCCGCAAAATGGCCGCCAACGGGCGAGGAACAGTTGCATTGACGCCGCTGGAAAGGCAGGACCTATACGAGTTGGATAGGTAAGGGTCCCCCCTAAAATATACCCCCGTCCCGTCCATATTTCATTGATGCAAACCGAAATAAACGTGCTGCAACGTTTTTATGTTGTTTTTCTGTCGTTCTAGTCGCTTGTTCGGGTTCCTGCGCTTAGAAGCGGACGAGAATGGAGCGGCGAAGAAGTCTCTACTCCTGAAGGTAGGTCCCATCGCCCTCCCTCTCTCTCGGGCCAGATCGGGCTCTTGCATACGAAACAACACACCAAATTCTGCAAAATCGG